GCTGACCGGCAGTAGGCGTGGGGGCCCAGGCCCAGTAGGGCCGCGGTGCCCACCGAGTCCACGTGCAGCTCCTGGTAGAGTAGATCGGAGTTCCAGGCCAGGCAGCCGAGGCCCGAGGCTGAGGTGCTGGCCACGCCGCGGTACCCAGTGCCATTCCCCAAGAAGCAGCGCTCATCAGGCGCTGCGGGCAGAGGGGCAGTGAGGCCAGCCCACTGAGGGGTCCACCCGGCACTGCCCCAGGGCACCCAGGGGGGCTGACGCACTCACCGATGTTGCAGAGCCGCCCGGCAAAGCCTGGTGGGCAGGCACACACGGTGGTCCCGGTGGCCACAATCAGGTGGCAGGTGCCCCCGTTCAGGCAAGGGCTGCTCAGGCAAGCTGGGGGCAGGGTCAAGGAGCTGGGCCAGGGGCCACGCAGTGGAGTCGGGGCTGGGGTGCACCCCTTGTCCCTCATTCCTGGGTGACCTCAGGCCATTCCTCCCACTCGGGTGGGGACGGGGACACCCATCAGGGGTCAGTGGCATGGCTCACACCCCATGGCGCACCTGTATGTCGGGTGCCTTCGCACCGGGCCCGGCCCCCCAAGCACTCGCACTGTTCCACGTGGCCCTGGCGCACACGGGCCCAGCGGTCGCCCCCCTCCAGGTACTCGTAGCGGGTCTCGTCGAAGCACTTCTCTGAGGGGTGCACAGTAAGCCCTCACACCCTGGCCACACGCTGTCCGTCCCCATGCAGGTCCCCTGCCCTGCACTCAGGCAGCCACCTGTTCTCTCATCCTCCCGGAACTCGCTCTGGCCCCTGGACCCCTGTGGACCTCCGAGGCCCAGCTCACCCGTGCCACAGTCTTTGCCGGTGAAGGCCCGGGGGCAGCTGCAGTGGTAGGACTGGGAGTCCTGGGTATTGGAGCAGGAGCCTCCATTGAGGCAGGGGCCGGAGGCACAGGGATCCAGGGCAGCTGAGGACATGCGGGAGGGGCCGTGAGGGGCGGGCTGGGAGCCTCAGGGTCCCTCTGTGACATCCCCTGCTTGCCAAGGCCTCCATCAGGCCCCAGTGAGGGGCTCTGAGAGCAAAGGGGCCCTCTCTAACGCCTCTCGGGGTGCAAGGTCCCTGGGAGGGGCACAGACCTCTGCTTCCTCCCAGTGTCCCCCACTCAGCACCCGGGTAACTGACCCAGCTGTGCGTGTGGCTTCTTGGAAGCCCGACACCCACACTGTCAGGCAGCAGCCCCTCCCATGTGTCCCGGGACCCGTGTGAGCAGGGTGGCTGGCACCGCACCGCACAGACCCTGCCCACCTGTCCTCTGCCCAGGGCATGTCTGTGTGGCTGCAGGGCCCGGCCTCACCACCAGGCGGTGCCTTGGCTCCAGTGATGGCCGTGCGGCCACCGCGAGATGCAGGTCCCGCCTGGGAGAGGCTCCGGCCCTAAGTGGCACCCACCGGGGTTAACCCCGGAGCTCCTGTTCTCCTCCCCTCCAGCCAGGACCCCTGCCCGGATCTGCCCCATCCTCCCTTCAGCCTCCCTGGCCGGGCCCAGCGCCCCCTGCCCACCCCAGGCTCCCGGACCCAGCACTCACCTGGGCCCCCCGGAGGCGGGGTGGCCTCCACACAGTAGCCCCAGGCCCTGTCCCGGTCGTAGTTGTGAGTTGTGGCACACCTGGGGGCGACACCTGCGTGCATGGGGGTCCCAGGCAGAGGCCCCCACCCCACCCCACCCCACCACCCTGGAGGGTCTGGGTTCACTGGGTCCGCGTGCTGCGTGGTGAGGGCCTACTGTGTGCCCGGCTCCCAGAAAAGTGAGCAGCGTGGGGCCAGCCGGTAACCCCAGCTCGGGTGCTCCGGCCGTCCGGACCCACCACTTCCTGTGGGCGCTGCCCTCCGAAGTGCAGGCGTGCAGCATGCGGCCCCCATAGCGGAAGGGGAACCTGCAGGGCCTCCCGTCCTCGGTGAGTGCTATGGGGAGCAGGTGGCAGGGTCAGGGCTCCCTTGAGGGGCACCCGAGCCCCTCAGGACCTTCAGCTGAAGTCCTGCTCCTCCCACCCAGCCCTAAGGTGAAGCACGACACCTCCACCCAGGCCCACCTGACTCACCTTGGGCCTGGGGGCTGCTGCTCGAGGGAACTGCCCTGAGCGGGGGCGGGAGCCCCCCACGTTGGGGTCCCTCTGCCTCTGGAGCACTCGTTGCTGGGGTCTCAGAGGTCACCAGGATAGTGGGGATCACAGGGGTCGCTGTGGCATTAGGTTCTGGGGACTCCGTACGGTTCTAGGAGGAGCAGAAAGGGTGTCAGTGTGGGACGGACCCTCACGCTCAGGTCCTGCCGGGCAGGAAGTCACAGCCCTGAGCCTGTTTCCATACTGGGGCCCCCAGATCTCGGAGCAGGTTCCAGGAAGACACACGACATCCCTGAGGCCTCAGTCAGGCCCTGACACCTTCCCCACCCTGGGTCCCTACTGAGCACCTGCTCAGGGTCACTGCCCAGGCCCAGGCACTGCTACCCACCAGGCTTAAACCCTGATGTCAGTTCTCGGCAATGGGAGCAGCTAGGAGGCCCTCGGAGGTTCCTTCAACCTCATGCATCCAGACCCGACAGAGACCCAGAGAGAGGGGGCAGCCCCCAGACCCATAGGGGCCCAGGCCAGGCTGCACAGGGATGACAGTCCCCAGGCAGGGCTCCGTTAGCCCAGACCCCAGCTTCCAGGCCAGCCCAGCACCCACCTGCCCCATGAGGGCCAGCTTTCAACCTGAGACCCCTGCGCGGCCCCCCACCCCTCAAATCCCGATGCTCAGCCTCCTGCCCCCTCAAACCCTGGTGCTCAGCCCCCGCCCCTCAAACCCCGATGCTCGGCAGTGACCCTCCCTCTGGCCTCCTCCCAAGGACCCTGAGTAGCCACAGGGAACCTCTGGTCGCACTGCGACAAGGTCAGTGCTCACCCCGCCAGGCTGGGGCTGGGACCCCTGCGGCAGCAGCAGGAGGAGGAGGAGGAGGAGGAAAGGGCCCAGTCCCAGGGAGGGACAGGGGCTGGAGACCCAGGCCCAGCGCCCCATGGCTCCTGAGCTGGTCTGAAGGCAGCGGGAGGCGGGAGCAGAGTGGCCAGGGCAGGTGGGGTCAAGGCTTTGTGGAAATGATTAACCCTGGCTGCCTCCCACATCGGGCGGGCCCAGCCGGAGAGGAAGTCCCCGAGTCCCCTGGCCCCCACACCTGCTGCCCACCTCTCTTTGAGCCTACCTGGAAGCCCAGCTGTCCCACTGTGGTCTCGGCCTGCACTGGTCCTAGTCCTGGACCTGACATGGTCCTTGGGCCTCAGCTTAGAAGCCTCCTCTAGGAAGTCTTCCAGGATAATGCAGATAGGTTGGGGCCTAGATGGTCTGGCACAGCTCCCAGTCCCTGCAGGCCACCGAGCTGGCCACCATCTGCCTGTGAATTGTCCATGATGAGAGCCGCTACGGGTGCTGAGCCTTGCAGGTGTCCAGCCCTGTGCCCAGGACAGCACAGACAGTGGCGGTGGGGCTGCCATTGTCCCTGTCCCACAGACGGCAGCACTGGGGGTTCCTGGAGGGTTCGGTGCTGCCTCCTCTCGGTGGCCCCAGGGCTGGCCAAAAGGCCAGGCACAGGGAGGAGAGGGGCCATGCAATGGCTGAGTGCAGCAAATGATGACCCAAGACCCTGCCCCACCTGCCTATCCTGACTCTGGGGGCCCCCCAGCAGCCCTTGGTGATGTTCAGAGTGTCCCTTCCTCCCCGTCTCCCAGACAGACCCAGGAGTCCCCTCCGAGAAGCCTTTCCAACCCTGGCTCCCCACCGCCACCCGGATGGTCCAGGCCAAGTCTGCCTCCTCGGGCCCTGCAGCCGGAGCCCGGCCCCGGGCCACAGCACAACCCTGGGCCAGGTGCCCCGGGGCCTGGGATGGGGAGGCCACCGCCACCCGGATGGAGATGGAGCTGGAGTCACGGAATTTGTGACTTGGGGCTGTGGGCAGAGCTGCCAGAGGAACCTCTTCTGCAATATTGGAGCAGCCGCCACGGCGCCGCGGGTTCCCTGAGTCAGCAGCTGCATCCCAGGGCTGCTGAGGTGGGAGGAGGGGTGAGTGAACCACTGTGGCCTGGAGACCATCGAGGGCTGAAGCTGCCTCCCTCTATACCCCAAACCCCCTCTCTCTGCCCCCCATTTGCCTATCTGTGCAGAGGGAGAGAAAATGGACACCCACTGACCACCCAGCTTGACACCGTGGGCCCCAGGGGGCACAGTGGACATGGAGGCATGGTGCGTCCTGGGGGCACGGTGGGCACCATGGTGGGTCCGGAGGGACACGGTGGGCACTGTGGTGGGTCCTGGGGCCACGGCGGGCACTGTGGTGGGTGGTGCACACAGCTGGTACTGGGCTTCATCTTCCATTCCAACCCCTCCCCCAGCCCCCTTCCTAGAGCACCACTAAGTGGGGTGCACCCACTCCCTGCAAGCTTCTAGAGCAGCCCCAGGGGGCTGGCTGTGCTCTCAGGCCTCTAGGATGCTCTGGGGAGCTCACCGACAGCCCTGTACCGAGGTATTCGGCGTTAGGGGCTCCATCAAGGCAACCGGGGGGATGGCCCCGCCTCTTCTAACTCAACCCAGCCCCCATGGCCCGGCCTCCCCAGCAGCCACACCTGGCTCCCTTTCTGTAATCAGACCCTTTTTAGCCCCAGGGCCTTGGCACAGGCCCAGGGCTCTTTCTAGACTTCCTCTGCCGTCAAATTGCAGTTTACATGGTCCCTCCCCAGAAAGGCCCTCAGACCACCCTGCTAAACAAGGCCGGGTTAGGGTCCCCACGTGACGGCGAGAGCCACAGTCTCTGCCATCTGGTCCTGGCCCTCAGCCCCCAGGAGTCAAGCGTGCCTCTCCTCAAAGCCCCTTTGACCTGACCCCGGGGCACTTCTCCTCCTCAGGCCCCTCTGTCTCCTGCACGACCTCCTGGGGATGTGCTCAGAGAATGAGTCTGTGTCCCCAGCACCCAGCACGAGGCCGACGCTCGGGTCCTCAGAAACGCTTTATTGGGCAGCAGGGGGCCAGGGCCAGCATGGTGAATGTCCGGGGCCAGTGCCTCCAGCGAGATCACCCCCTGCCCTCCTGGCTCCTGAGGGTGTTGGTGGCTGCGGTGGCCCCTCTGAGGCTCACAGACTCCACGGGGGCTGCCCCACCCCAACATGTCCACGGGAGAGTTGGCCAGGCCAGGGCAGCTCAGACGAAGGTGGCGTGGTGCGCGCTGGCCTTGGGCTTTGCGGGCTCACCTGGGACGGGGCTCAGGCCAGGGAGGTCTGACGTAGGAGACCCACCACCGGCCTGCGCCCTCCCAGGGTCAGCCCGTGCCCCCGCGATGCCACCATCCTGCCCGGGCGCCAGGCCAGTTACAAGATCCACGTCAATGATTCTGTTGACCGGGAGGCCTCGGCTGCCGTGGGTCCCGCTTCCTGTCACAGGGAGAAGAGAAGCTGTCACTTGCCTGACCCAGCCCTGGGCCCCCGGAACCCACCCCCCACCCCAAAGGCCCCTGTACAGACACTGGGCATGGGAGGGGTTCCTGAAACACCCCAAACACATCCCAGAGGCAGCTGGCCTCCCACTGTGGGCCTCCGGGCTGGGGCAGGTGCGCCCAGGGGAGGTGCAGTGTTCCCAGAGTCCTCCACAGAACACCTGCCACCAAGTGGGGGAGCCGACCCACTCAGAAACCCCACCACCCTGCTTCCCCACTGCAGCTCAGGAACAGAGCTGGGTCCCCGGCGGAGCCCCCACCCCAACTGCCCACCAATTCCTCCTGGGGGCTGTCCTCAGGGCCCACCCCCAGGGGGTCGAGCACTAGGGTGGGAGCAGTTCCAGACAGGCTGGACCCTCTTGGCCTGGTGGAACGGGCCCTGAGTCCTGCGTCTGCTGCCCCATCCCACCCTACCAGGCTAGCCAGCTGCTTGCCCACCTGGCTCGCTGCCTCAGCACCGTCTTCACCGCACACACCCTGCTCTGGGCCTGCTCCGTCCCCTCCCCCTTCATCCCTGGCCCCCCTGCTGAGGTCCCTCTTCCGGGCTGGTCAGTGCCTCTGGCCCCACTTCTGGCTCCAATGCCCACTCCAGTCCCAGGAGATCCCGGCTGCCTGAACCGGCCTTGGAAGCTTCTAGACCCAATGTGGGCAGGCCATCTCCTTGCCAGCACCCCTGGGAGGCCTCCCTACCCAGGGCGTCACTGCCGTGCCACATCCGGTGACCTCCACGTGGACCCCTGGAGGACAGAGTTGCGTCTAAGCCAGGGTGGAGTCCTCAGGGGCCAACGCGGAGTGGGGCCAAGGAAAGTGAACGGTGCACAAAGCAGGTTGGTTCACGCGCCGCCCGGAGCTCCGTGGCAGGACCCCAGGGCCTGGGCAATGCTGGGAGAGCCCAGAAGCCCTTCCCTACTCAGTGACTCCACCTCCCCATCTGCACAGTGGGGGTGACATGACCGACCCAGAGGAGCGGGCTTCGGGGACAGGTTCCTGCGTGCCCAGCGTGCCTCCTGGGCAGGGGTCCAGGAGCTTCCTTCCCCAGTGAGCCTGGGGCTGAGGCCCTGGGACAGTCACGTGTATGCCAGAGTGGAGGCCTTGAGGCGCCTATGGGGTGGCAGGGGCACCAGGCCTGGGCCCACAGCAGACAGGCTGCAGGGAGAGCCAGCCCTCGGCCGATGAGAACCAGGGACAGGGGGTCCCTGCTACCAACTGCTGCCCTCCCCAGGTGAACCGAAGGCCTGGGAAGGTGAAGACCCTCCTCGATCTACAGTTCTGAGGTCCCTGAGAAGGCCGCAGGGTCCTTGCTGCCCCAGCGGCTCTGTGGCCACCAAGGTCCTCAACCCCAGTGTGCCCCACCTCACCCTCAGTCCAAGCTTTCAGAAGCAGCCTCCATGAGGCATCTGTGAACAAGTCCGGGCTGCAGGCAGGTTTGGCTCCCCTCTTGAGCGGGCCCCAGAGGCCCTCATCCTGGCCTTGACGCAGCAGCACCAGGGTGCCCAGCCAGTGTGTGGGAGCTGCATCGGGCCTGTATGTCTTACTCAGCCAGGCCCGGTGGAGATGCCGTCTGGAGGCGTAGGGGTCCATGTGGAGCGGCTGAGACTAGAAACTTCTCCCAGTCAGGCCTCTGCTCATTCAACAAGTATCCTGCTAGGTTCTGCCAGGGCTAGAAGCTAGCCCTGCCCCCAGGGGACAAGGGAACAGCTCTGCCCATCTCCTTCTTGTCTCCAGGTCCCCATGGCTCCAAATGCCAGGCTGCAGGGCTGGGAGGTAACAGGTGTGGGGAGAGGCAGGGGTTTGCCCCCCTTCGCCGGTCAATCCCATGGGCATTTGGGCATTTGCCTGGAGTGTTCATCGGGCTCCGAAGGGGCCTGCGACCCCACACGTGTCCAGAAGCCCGGCTCTTCCCCGCCAGTCCCACACGGACAGATGGGAGGACAGGCCCCTGTGGGCCCCAGGCAGATAGCGTGCTCAGGATGGGAGAAACACTTGTTTCTGGAGATCGGACAGCTCTGCACGGACCAAGGACGTCCACATCACAAGGAGGGGGCCACAGCCAGGCCCTTCCTGCCTGCGGGACCCAGCCTGGCCCTCCTGTGCAGGGCAGCCAGCCCCAGGCCTGTGACTCAGCCACCTGGCCCAGCCCTGAGCAGTGCACAGCCTCACCATCTGCTTGCCAGGGCCTGCCCAGGGAGCACCTTCTTGCTCAGCATTTCCCTGGCAGGGATGGCGACACAGAGGACCCAGCAGAGCCTGCGCCGCCTCCAGAGGGGCCTGGCCTCCTGGTCTCACTCCTGGTGCCACATCTCCAAACATCCAGACCTGAGACCACACTGGGACCTCGTTTCCTGCTGCTTGGGCCACCTGTGAACCTCTCCCCTCCCTGTCGCCCCACGGCTCCCTGCCCTCAGCTGGCTGGTCCTGCCGGTTCTGACTGTGCCGTCCAGCCTTCCCGGGAGGGGGTCCTGCTGGAGACCCCACAAGACGCAGCAGGAAGGCCCCTCTTTCCGCATGGACGGGCCCCTCACCGGCTGCCGGTCGCCCCCAGGCCTCCCAGACGCTTGTCCATGAATGTCTCTGGCCCGCCACTGCCAGCCGCACTGGCCTAGGCCTGGGGCCATAGAGGTCAGGCCCCTGCCCCACCCTGGTCCTCAAGGCTGAGTCAGGAACCCCAGCAGGCACAGCGGGAGCAGGGGCGCGGCCTGAGCCCTCCCAGGCTCTCCTCTGAGACCCAGGCCTGGCACCTATCCCACTGCCCTTCCTGCCCCCAGAGGGACCCTGTCCCCCAGGCACTTTGCTCAGCCTCTGCCTCCATGCTCCAAATCATCTGTGCTGCCAAGCACAGTCACCTCCTGTTAAGCCTCCCCAGCGCCCCTTGGAAGCTTGCAGGGCACAAGGACGCCCAGGCATGGCTGAGCCGGCTCACACTGAGAACATGGCAGGAAGTGGGAAGCGAGGGGGAGCCAGAGGCGGGGACTCCACAATCCACTCTGGCTCCTAAGGCCCCTTCCCTTCCCAGCCTTCCCAGCACAGCTCCCCCCACGGGCTCCTGCCGAGGCCTGTGCACTCCTGCTGATGGGCTCCCATGGGAAAGAGAGTATCCTCAGAACCCCAGTTCCAGAGTGTGACCCCCCAAGGTCCCCCTGTCCATGTGGGTCCCCAGCCAGGATCATGACTGTGTCTGTGATGGGCTGGGGCTGGGATAGAGCTCCTCAAATATTTGCTGAGCACTGGCGAGAGAGAGGACAGCGGCCAGCAGGGTGCATAGTGTGGTGCGTGGGGAATAGGGGAGTAGGGATGACTCAGGGCACAGGAGTGCATGTGGCAGACCCCAGGGAGGGGCTGCAGGCTGGAGCTCCAGCAGTACCGGCTGAGATGGGCACAGGTGGCCAGTCCTGGAGGGAACATGAGGGTGGGCTAGGTCATGGTCACTTGCAGGCCTGAGACTTCCACTCTGCAAGACCTGGCTGGAACTTCAGGTGGGGCAGACACTTCAGGGAAGGAGAGGGAGCAACCTAGGGTGGCTTGTGGTGGGATCCAGGAGGACCACGTGTCACAACCGGGCTAGGGGCTGTGGAGGAGGGCCCAGGCCAGCTGGTCAGTTCAGGAAGCCCCTGGGGAGCCACGGAGCTGGGCAGGAGCCAGGAGGTGCTCTGGGGAGAGGGGGCTCTGGAGAGGCACCTAGCAGATGCCCTCAGCAGCTTTGCAGGCCTGACACCAGTGGCAGGCTCCTGGGGCTGTGTCCCCAAGAAAGCCAGAGCTCTCAATCCACATTAGAGGGAGGGGATCCAAGCTGCATCTGTTCCTGCGGAGGGCTGGGCACAGGAGCTGCTGAGGAGGCCTCTCTCACAGGAGTGGCTCTGGACAGAGCAGGAGCCAGGCGGGGCTGCATCCTCACCCGGGCCTCAGCAGCTACCACACAGTGGCCGTGCCACGGGGCGTACTTTCACCCCCAGGGTGAGGGGTGTGACCTCACTTCCAGGCTGCAGAAGCCCCAGCAGGCAAGCATCACACACCTTGTGCGTAGCTGAGCTCCAGGCACCCCGAGAGCAGCCACTGGGCCCAAATGTGTCCCTTGGGGACACTGATGCCTCCAGGTTAAGTAACCCCTGCCTCCACCCAGTAAGCTGCCCCAGGGGACTCCAGTCCCAGGACAGTTATGTGGGGACCCCTCCCGAGGCGGAGCCTAGCAGCTCTCTGCCGGCAGGTGGAGTCTGTCCTCTTGGGACGTCTGCACCAGGAGCTCAGCCTGGCCATGGGGCTGCGCACTCAGCCTTACCAAAGGGGCTGGGAGGAGCCACTGGCCAGGACCCCTGATTGTGGCCTTGCAGCCAGCTGGGCAGCAGTGAGACCACCCAGCTCCCGGGCTTGTTGTTGGAAACCAAGCAGATCTGGTTAAGAAGACCACTGGGAATTATTACCAACACGACCGTAAGAACCTGTTTTAAGACTGCGCGTATGGAAGGAGCACTGTGCATTGGAAACTCGGGTGTGGGTGCACGTGACCTTTTGAATGCCTCTCTCCTTTGTGAAAGCACAAAGCACAGACGTCTGCTTTGGTGCAGTGATGGAAGATGACTAAAGGCGGGACGCAGCAGTGCTAGAGGGACACCTGCTCCCTCCCCACGAGAATGGAAGGTGAGCATTTTGGAGGGTTCCTGTGTCAAGACCCAGATATGCACAAAACGTGCCACGCAGACACATGGCAGGTGCACACCCCGACACATGCCACACGAACACACACCAGGCGTGCACGCATGTGGGCATATCTGCCTGACACACTGACATGGTTTGGCTCCGTGTCCCCACCCAAATCTCACCGTGAATTGTGATAATCCCCAGGCGTCAAGGGTGGGACCAGGTAGAGGGAAATTGGATCCTGGGGGCGGCTCCCCCCATGCTGTTCTCATGGTAGTGAGTGAGTCTCAGGAGAGCTGATGGTTTTATGAGCGTCTGGCATTTCCCCTGCTGGCTCTCATTCTCTCTCCTGCTGCCCTGTGAAGAGGTGCCTTCAGCCACGACAGTAAGTTTCCTGAGGCCTCCCCAGCCATGCGGAACTGTGAGTCAATTAAACCTCTTTTCTTCATAAATGACCCAGGCTCAGGTATTTCTTCACAGCAGCAGGATAACGGACTCATACACAAAGCACTGTGTGGACACACACACCCGTCAGCGTGCCCTGGAGCCTCACGAGGGGCCTGGCACTTCTCCCACTTGCAGCCTCTGTTGTGTGTGTCAGATCGCTAACGCTCAGGGCCACTAGACTGGGCGGTCTGGCAGCAAGTGGCCAACGGGAAAGGAGACCCACCCGCATGCCACTGGGGACCAGACACGCACGGGGGTACTGGCCAGCCTGCAGGGCCTGACGGGTCTCGGTGCGTGGCGCTGGGGCTAGACAGACGGGGTGGAGTGCCGTGTGGCGTGTGGCGCTGGGGCTAGACAGACGGGGTGGAGTGCCGCGTGGCGTGTGGCGCTGGGGCTAGACAGACGGGGTGGAGTGCCGCGTGGCGT